GGGGGGGGTTAGTTCTTTTTTTAGCTGTGCTCTCAGTTCAAGTGCACGCACTTTAGATGCAAATAAACTGAAGCACGTATTGAAGAATTCCCTGAGTTGCCATTTTGTTTGATGCAAGCTACTTCCATGTGAGCTAAAATTGTGACATCAGCAGCTCAGAGGGACCACTGAAACCTCAAATGAAATATTATGACCATCACAACAGTCGCCAATTTGAACTCTGGTTGTAGACTTAGCAACATCCAAATTTCTGGTAACACATCAAGCTAACAAATACTTCAAAACGCTTGAATTTTGGATAAAAAGATCCATCCTATCACTGGGCAAAAGGCAGGGTACAAACTGGACATGTCAGACACACTCATTATCCTATCACACTCCAACAACCAGAAGACATCTGTCCAGCTGTTAGCTGCCTGGGGAACTGGGTCGCCGTGCATATATGGCCATTCCATCAAAGTGAATGCAAAGATTTCAAATAAAATGTGAAGCTACAATTTGTTGCCTTTTAAATAATACATAACTTTATTCATAAAGTACCAAATGACATTATCAGTATCCTCAATGTGCTTTCTATTGTAGGGTAAAGACCCTACAATAATACAGAGGACCCACCAACAATCAGAAGACCCCCCCATGAGCCATGACTTGGTGACAGTGGGAATGAAAAACGGCTTTTAAACAGGAAAAAAACCTCAAGCGAAACCAGAGATTAACAATAACTTTAAAATACCAGCATTATTACAGAAGAACCTTCTGTTTTAAGCACCAGGATGCGACTCTAGCAACTGTTAAAGTTAATACTCCCTGGGTAGTATTTGTAGCTCTCATGTGCTCTGGTTCTCGAAAACTGACATTTGGGTTGTGTCACTGAAATAGTTTGCACTATTTGTGGCCTTACAATACATATTTGTTTAAATCTGGGGTGAGAACAAATATAGTATCCTCTGCAATCTTCCACTCATCTAAAAGGGGGGGAAAAAGCCCCTTCTGCAACCAGCCTTATAGCCCATTTGTGTAGACTAATGTTTGTGATTGGTCTGGCTAAAAATTACAGTAACTTGCTAGATGTATTTTTCCCAAGGTAAATGGTAAAAGGAAAATCCCACTTGAAAACATTTTGGATGATACTGCAGTACTTTTTTCGAATAAGATGACAACTCCATCAGGACTACCTTGATGCATGCTTAACCATCCAGGTAAGGAAATACCACGCAGTTGATTCTGTTCTGGACGTTGCGTTTTCAGCGGGAGAAATGTTTCATCACTCATCCAGTCTCAGTATCACTGAGTGATGAACTGTTTCTCCCAATGAAAACGCAACATCCAGAAGAACAGAATCTGCTTTCTGGGGTATCAGAACTACTGTTAAAATCGCAAGCTTTACACCGTCTCTGTCATCACCACACCCAGGCCTGCTAAGCCTTTTGCCTCCTTACCATGGGAACAAAAAGAAGCCTGCAAGTTAAAAAGTCTCAGCTTTTCTTAATTAACTGACTCCCATTCAGTGTAAAGAGACATTTAATCACTCGAATGTATATTTATTGTGCTTCACTAGATCCCTGCATTGCAACAGTTAAAGACAATGCAGGGAATGGAAATGAAAAGATAGTAAGTGCATTAGTGATGTAAGTTAATGTCACCCTAATTGATTTGATCCTTTCAGCAGCTTGATAGTACTGTGATTGATTTTGATCTTTAATTTATAGTTATTTCGCTAGAAAATAATCATCCATCCATCCATTAAATTTATCTAATCATCATTCCCAGAAATAAAACTGCTTTCTGTGCACACCACATAAGATGTTTTGTGATCCATTCGATCTATCTTTGCTGTAGTTTTTTGATCTACAAAAATGACCGATGCTTGTCTTGTCCTAAATCTAAAGTTCTCAGCAAACATGCCTCGCTCTGGCATGGTATACTGTACATCCATGCTGTGGATGTATGCTATGCCATACAGTATACAGTAAATGAGGGATGAAGAGGAAATGAGATTGGTTGTAGCTGCAGCCTGTAAATCCTGCGCTGCTGCTGCCTGTTCTGACTGGCATGGGGTGTCCAAGCGTTTCCATCTTGTATTTATGTCTGGGGGCCAATCAGTTCATATCCCCGACACCGCCCACGCTGCCATTAACACAGAGTAATGCAGAGACCATCGAACATGCCTGAGCAACTTCACTCCACCACGTTGGCCCTAATGATTCCCCACCCTTGCTATTGATCTCTTGGGCGCTTGTTCAGCTGCTTTTACGGTAAAGTGAAAACGTGCAATCTTCAGTCTCCCGTTTTAAAGCAAACTAAACCAAAAAAAAGAGTCTTAATTAAGGCGCGATAGTTGGAAGGTAAAATTCTTTTGCTGTTGTGTTTGAGGCAAAGGTTTTTAAAAGCCTTCACCATCTGCTTTGTGTGTGTGTGTGTGTGTGTGTGTGTGTGTGTGTGTGTGTGTGTGTGTGTGTGTGTGTGTGTG